GTTTTCAGTTATCACAGGAATGTACTTAAAAAAAACCCCTTTCTCTTCAAAAGCCACAGGCTCTTTCATTAAGATGAGCTTTATGAGTACAAAAGGGATACACTGTGCAAGGAAGAAAAAAGAAAAAAAAAAAAAGTCTTTTCCAAACTGCTACATAACAGCATTCTTGTCTCAAAACAATGAATTGTAGCTGATGGCAAAAACAGCAGTGTCAAATTCAGTAAGCTATTACAATGCAACACATTAAAATCGTCTAATAGCAATTATCTTGCCCAAGATAAAAATTAACATGTCTGGAAGGATTTCCATAGTAAATTTTTTCATGGGGTTTATGACAGCCATAAAAAAATTCATTGAACTGAAAATGTGCACGAGTTCAAAGAAGTCTGTGGATTCTCTTAAAAAAAAAAAGTTACGCATCAGTCAAGATATTTCTTACAGTATTCTTTGACACATACAGCTGCATTAAACGCCTTTGTCCACACTATATATCGCCTGCATGCATTAATTGCAGACAACACACTCTGAGCACCCACGAAACATTTTAGACTTCAAGGCACTTTCATGCACCACCCTCCACACAGCACCTGTAAGGTGCAGTACGTGAGGCAGCTGATAAGGAGCACTCACTGGATGGGATGCACTGGAGGAGCCAGGTGCACACAATGGCTGGCTCTCCCCTTACAGTTATCTCACCATTTTTCCAATGCCACGTATACAACACCTTAAAACCAAAGCTGCCCAAATATACTCTTAGACCCATGAAGCATCTAATACCATACCAGATACTTGGGATGAAATCAGAAGGATTGACTAGGTAGTACACCAGCAAGGAGAATGACTGAAAGACCACAGGAGAGGCATGCCAGGCAGCCAGCCATAGCTGCTGGCTGAAACAATACTGTCCCCCCCTCCATCACACATCATGTGCTCCTACCACACCGCCACGGCCCTGCTCCCTGCCTGAGGAAAGCTCCAAAGCATGTCAGATCCTGCACTGAGCAAGTAGAGATTGTGGTAGCAGAGCATTTGTGGATTTTTTTACTATCATCTAGTATGAATTAGTAGCCATAAAACTTCAATTGTAACGATTAGCTATTGTTTGTGAAGCACTGCAATTTCAAGATACCCCAATCAGCATATAGTAACTGTCCCTTCCTCATCTTCTATTCACACAGCTGCCAGGGTTTTCATTTCCTTCAAGAAGGAATTATCAAGCTGTATGACTCATTCTGTGCATATATATACATCTAATTATAACAAGATTTTAGCCTGACCTCTCTCTTAGAAATTCAGATAAACCTGCTTAACAGAGTTCAACAAATAATTTAAGATCCGCAAAAAGGTATCAAGTGGCTTTTATACGCTAGACCGTATGTTGTTATCTGCCTCAGTGTAATAGCATAGGCCTATAGAACCTGCAACACAAAAATTTGTTTGCCTCCCATCTAAAATTGGTGCTTACTCATGCATCCATTCCATGGAAAATGCATATGGGATAAGATTGTACGCTATTGCTATTAAGCCACAGCTGCTCCACACTAACTGGCTCACAGCTTCATGTCCACTGGAGTGCACGCTGTCTGCTAACCTCCTGGCAGTGGCTCAGGTCTGGTCTCTGAACACTCAGCAACATCTCATGCTAACTGACACCAGAGCCCATACTACTATGCAAGTTTCTCCAAGTCTGAGGACACTGTGTGCCAGGAAATTAAGAAATGCAAGCGAATAGAGAGTTGTCAGATTAGGAAGGTGGCTGGAAAACAGAGGCTTGAAGAAGAGGCTGAAATTAGGCTGGAGAGGCACACAAGTACAGCAGGAAGCCCTGCAGATTCTTGTAACTACAGAAACAAACCACTAGCTACAGATTAGAGCTGAATACTGAAAAAGGAATACCAAGTTCCTGTTCTTACAGAAAATGAGCACAGCAAATATATGCCCATCAGCTCAAAGTTAGTGAGGCAGTTTAATGTCTGCCGAGTCATCTGAGTGGTACACCTATTAAAGCATCTACTTCACTTTCCTTAAATGTTTCTTAACTACGTGCTTGCAAAGACAGAGGTCCCTGCCAGTCTAAACCATTCTGTGACTATAAGGATAGATACTGAAGTACTTCAGAAGAGGCATATGCCATAGCATCTGGCTTGAGTAGAACTTTCAAAACAATACTAGATTTTCAAAACTGATAAGACTGTGGATTTAGAACAAGGCCAAAGTCCTCGTGCAGTCTGTAATTAAACAATTCCATTCTTATTTTGAACAGAACAAACCAAAACCAAACAGAAACTGCTTCTTGCCCAACATTTTTAAAAACAAAAGCCACTTGAGAGAGGACAATTAAAACAATGTGAAATGCTGCCAAAGGGGAAAAACCCAAGGCCTACATAAGATCAACGCCTTCCTCAAGCAAAAACCTGCTCTGCGTGATCCACTGTTTAGCCTCCCCTGTGTTTAAACATGCAAGAAATCTGTAACGTTTCAGACTCTGCCTTCCAACAACAAAGTGCTGTATATTACTAATGTAGCCCCTTAACAAGCTTATAAAATCCTCAAGGCTCCTCTAACATTATTTGTGGTTGTTTCTCTGCCTGTTAATGGCACAGGAGGCTATTAAGCACAAGTCATCTAAATCCATTCACTAAACAAGTTCTCAACTTCTGTCATGGAAACATCTACAAACAAATAAACATGATTTCCCATCAAGCCCTCAAACATAAGTTCTAAGTAATGCTGTATCCCTTCTACTTAGGCGTATCAACAACTGCACTCTCAAAACACAAGAAGGGATAATTAAACTCCTTACAGAACAGGTCCAGCATAGGCTAGTGCAAGAGAGGATTCTCCTTGCAATGACTGAGACACCGACTAAGCAATGGGCCTCTAAATCAACAGTTTCATCTCCAAAGAAACAAAATCCCGACAGAAATTTTCTGAGTGCTAGTAGCGCCAGGCTAGTATAATTTATGGTGAGCACTAGAAACAAGGACACCACCTTTTTGGACCACAAGCTGAAAAAAGCCATGAGAGAGCAGCTGATTCGTCTATCCTTCTAGGCTATAGTTGAACCGGTGATTCACCATGTCAGTCTTATTAATAATTCCTTCAGCTAGCCATTTCAGCCCCCTTCTCTAACCTCCAGAAGTCTTCAGAACTCAACTATGACTCTACACACACTTCAAGATTAAAAATGCCACTACTGTCACCAGAAAACACAACTAATCCCACCATCTGGAATATACACAGCTCTTAACCTTTAAAAACTCTGTAAAACCAGAGAACAACTACTGTATTGGACAAAACTCTGTGTGTATTCTCTACAACATCAACTTATGAGGGCCTTCAGTCATGTTTTTCCTACTGAAAGCATTAAATGTTCACCTCTGTCCACATAAGAAAAGCAGTGATCACTACATGTACTTTTATATGTCACCAAAGCTATTCTGTTTCTCAAAATTTCGCATCAACTTTCTTCAGTCTAAAACTTTTTCTCTTTGGTCTCAAAATGTTTCAGGAATCACTTCTGTTATTTTGAATTACAACTATAAAAAGTTATTCTTTTAAGTCTGCCTTAGATTTATTTGCTTGCCAAGAACTCAAAAATAGCTGAACAAAGCAAGCAGCAATGAAGTTAGGTATCCATGAGGAAGCATCTGTGCTGGTTTCATTTTCTTGGCTTTCTGGGTAGGGAGGGACATTAAATGTCAAGCTGCTGGAATGACAGAGAGTGTAAAAACAAACAAACAAAGAAGTTCCAAAAAACCCACTGAGGAACATCTGCCAAGATTTAGAACAATGAAGTGTTATGAAGCTCCATCTCTTCTAGGACATCTTTAGTGAGTAGAAGGACCTGAAACCTCCCTGTTTTAACTCAGAGGCCCAAAAGAAACTGGCAATAATGTTAGCAAACCCTGTCTGAAGGACTTTATCAGCCATCAAATGTCAAATCTTAGAAACATTTCCTCTAACTGAGCACAGGAGGAGGGAAAAAAAAAAAAAAAAAGAAGCAAAGAAAGGTAAGATCAAATAATTGTCCCTCTCATATCCAAGGACCCCTCACATGTGCTGTATCTTGAAATTTCTGGAAGTGTCCTTACCTTTGCTCTTACACTATAGATACAGCTACTGTGAACTAGTGTGTATCACCGCAATAGTAGCTAGAAGTAGAATTGTAGAATTATCACCCCCAAAGGTAAAGAAATTCACTGCCCACATATGTGCATCTTTGCCTTGGAGTTGCATATGAAAGTTGTGGCCACACATCTCAGTAATTGGCATGCAGCTATCCAATCTTCTCATTTTACAGTAGCTCTTGGCAAGCATACCAGGAACCTATTTTAATTGCTAATTAATAACATATTTGTCTTTGAGGGGTGGGAAAGGGTTAGACTTTTAATTGAGCTGTTCCTACAAAATAAAAGCAAAGAAGAAACATTAACTTTACAAAACATGAGTTTCCCCTCAATCTGTACTCAAACAGCAGAAAAAATATTTTATTGATTTTGAATCAAAACAGGTAATGCTATTCCTAATAGGAGAATACTTGAGAATTCTTATTCCAAAATAAAGAAGTGGTGGGGACTGAAAACACTAATATTACCCAGCTGAAACCTCCCCGATTCACCTGTGATCTGTACACACAACCAGATTATAAATAAGACTTAAATACAATGCAATGTCACGCAAACAAATAATATTTAGCAGCAGCTCAAGGGTAATCCACATCTCTCATTTAGAATATTATCAGTGAAATTTTATGTTCCTACTGTGATTTTTTTTTTCATCTTAATAAGCACATCTGATGAGAAAAGACATACAAGGGCTATGAGCGAAGTACAGTTCTGAGGCCTGATTCTGCAGCCTTTCCACTGTATAGCAAGTAGCACATGATTAACTCACTAGTCACCATAAAATAAACTATTACTCAAGGTGAACAGCAGTTGCCCTGAATCTGGCCTGAGAACTGTTTCATATTGAGTACATATATCATGAAATAGTCTTACCTCAGTAAGTGCGTGCAGCTGTCCTTGATGCACACAGACACCCATAAACCTACAAGAAACAAGAAAAGAAAAGTGGTTTGGGCTTTTTTCCCCCCCTCTTTTTTTTTTTTCTTTAAAGAAACTAAGATAGTAAGAAGTACTGGATATGCCAAGAAAGAAGGAAAAAAAAAAATCCAGCCTCACCAATACTGCATACCTCAAGGTTGATTATTTAAACATCTCAACACAAAACAAAATCACATGTCTACACTACAATATAATTTGGATTAGCAGTTCCAAGAGAGCACAGGGGACAGCTCAAACTCAAGATGGAAAGTTATTGATTTGACTATAAGTGAAGGCCAGCATATAATGATTTATACAGAAAGGAACAGTCTCAGAGTTATGTTTTAAGGAAGTTTAAGCCAAGTAATCCACTGTTGGTCTGCATAAATAGAAAATTACTTCCCTTTGCATTTTGCTGTGTAAGCATAAAGATGTTTCTTCCTATCCCATTCCTAACCACTCAGGAATATGAGGGCACATATGTGCAGTATACTTCCCCTCCCCAAACCCCTGTTTCCAACACTTGGATCAAAGCAAGTTTCAATACTATCCAGTATACACACATTCCACAAAAGTTACCTACACTGCACAAGGTTCAGATTCCTGCTGTTAATAGTAATCTCTGTCACCCTTAATTTTTCTAGAAAGCATAGCAAATGTGCCATACATTTAACACGAGGCACAGCAGAAAGCACATTTTTACCACCATACACACTGAACTTAGAAGTGACAAAATGAAAATTCGTATTAATGGAAAACATCTCCCATGAGAAAGTTCAGTAAAACTTAAATTGTATGTACTTTAAAGCCCTCCCTGAACAGTCAAAAATTGGTTATTTTTAGATTAACTAATGTTCAGTTTTATCATTTAGAGTTTTGGTATCAACAAGGAAAACCACACTGTTTGTCACTTCCACAATGTTCAGAAATTACTACTTTGCAAGCAAGGGGTAAAAATGCATGGTTTCATTAAACACAACAGGGGAATCCTGTGGAGAACAATTTGAAGGAAAAGGACCTTTTGTATCCTCAAACACTTCCAAATTTAAAAACAAAATGATGCAAGACACATGTAGTACTCGTTCAGCTAAGCTGCTTTTGAAGAAATGAATGATTCTCACTGTTCTCTTGTCTAACAGCTGACTCAAATTACAAGCAGACAAAGAAAAATAATATAGGTAAAATCCTTTGCATAAACTGAGCTGTGGAAATCTGTTTTTATAACCAAAGAAGCAGGACTTGTACTTGAACATAAACTGCCTGCTCTCACTTCAAATAATATTCCCTGAATCAAATATGCAAACTTTTATTTGAATAAGACAGTGAAAATCCAATTCCTCATGTTTAATGAGAACAATAGGGCATGACCAAGTATTCAGGGGAAAGGGAAGAAGAGTTCTTTTTAGATGTATCATCTACTCAAAACATTGTTGTTTCTGAGTTTCACTTCATACAGCAACTGCACATGAACAATTTTGTAAACAAGTTGACAAATTAAGCTTCCTGAGACTAAGAAATCTAGACTTCTCCAGAGTAGAAATCTGCTTCTTCCTTAATGCATTCTGAAGGTCTCCAGAGCCATCAGGGGTAGTGTTAACAGCTTTATTCACAAGTACAAATGGAAAAAAAAAATCCAAGATATCAGTTCCACCAACAGACAATTTCTGAAAGTATTATTTTCTCTTTTATAAAACATGCTAATCACACAAGGTTAACCCAGTACTGCAGTATTTTCATTCAACAAAAAATGAGGCTAAGTAATTAAGAATAATAATGTTTTCAGCTCTTGAATATATCAACTACACCTTTGTCAAGGTGTATTACATTACTTTCAAATTAATTATTTGAATTAATTCTAAAATATTAAAGTAATTAAGAATTAACCAAAACTTTTGCAAAATTAAATTTCTTGTCTCATCTTTACCAAAAAGGAAAAACATCACTGTCACCCCAAGACTGGTAGAAATTAACTTTTTCTGCCAACCTGTTTTGGCCAAGGAAAGTCTCAATGGAAACATATTCATTACTTTTGTGAACCTACACTTAAAGCAGAAAAGACACACTGGCTCAAGTTACCAAGAGTAAGAATTCAAAAATTCTTAAACGTTTATGGTTTCTACTGGGAAACAGACATACATTTCTAACTTAAATCAGAAATTAAAACAAAGCTCAATATCATGATCTCATGGAAAAAAGCTGGGCATAAAGATACATTTATAAACCTCACATATTTAGAAGTTATTACCCAGGAAAAGAGAAACCAGATACACTGATAAAGACAGAATTAATGAGTTTACAAGCAACATACTGAAACCATTTAAACTGTGTCAGGAATCTCAGTTTTCAGACTCTGGAAAATAGATTGACAGAAAAGACCTCTAGTGATCCAAATTCCTGGAAAACTTCTTCTTAGCTGCTGTATCAAGCAATAATAAGCTCTTGGTTAAGCCAAGTGCTGCTGCAAAACACTGTTGGAAGGCATTTTCATTAGAAGATAATACATGCAACTGCTACCAGGAAATACAATTACCAAACAAGACTTAACATAAGATTTCAATTTCTGAGATTGCCCCAGATGAGATTCCAAGTTCTGTGGATAGGAAGCGGACATGCTGGTCCAGTACAGCTGAGATTATTCTTGTTGGCTAGACGCACTGTCTCCAGAGCCAAAATGCGCTTGTAGGTGAACTTCAATAGATTGTCTTGTCAGCCAAAGGTTATACTTCCTATAAGCATTTCTAGTTGGAAGAAGCGTCAATGAACCAGTCATCCACAAAACAGGAGACCATTTGCAGATTTAAGGAAGTTTATTTTCAAGACAGTGTGTATCTGGCCTTATCAGTATAGCTGAAGCACTTCCAAAATCTTAACTAGCGGTTGGAAAAGTTTCCCCAGAAGTTGCAAATACAAAAAGATGCTATTTGAGTCCACCCTACTAAATACAGCACAGCACATTTCCACCACAAAATGCTTTCTAACAAATGTCAGCAATCTTCTGATATTGGAAGTCTCTTTCCATAAACCAGGTTATTCCCCAATCAGTCTGGAATACCTGCCCCTCCTAGGGAAGACCAAGAGAAGATACTCTGGATATTTCCTAGTCCATTACTGCAGTTATCTAAATTGCCTTCAGGTCAGTCTGACTTGTAGGAAGAAAATTCTGGACAGAAAAGGGGAGACTAACAGCTGTAGCCTCAGCTTGCAATCTTTGCCTCCTTGGTAAATCAAGCAAAATTAATATCCAGATTATGCAGCCACTGTGGACATCCAGACACTGAACACATGCTTCCCATTAAAAGAATTTCACTGGGACATGTTCCTGTTCTGTGGATAAACCTGGGGCAGCTACAGTCCACCATAATGAATTGATGCCCTCTGAAATCTACTGCTTGTATGAAAAAATTCTGCAGTTTGACGATAACATTAAACATAAAAAACAAACCAAACACAATAATGCAAAAGTCTCTCATATGAGCTCAGTAACACAAAGAGAAACAAGGTCAAAAGACACATGCTTATTTCATTGCACTGACTGTCAGAGAAGGAAGAGAGTGAGTAAGAACACTGCATTAAGATCCTCCTTAATGTTTTTGGCACCATACTAGAAGATGAAAAATGTATTTTATGTTTTCTACACTTGCATTTTGATTCCTGACAGACACAAAGCATTTAATCTATCCTTTTTGTAACATATTATACACAACACATACAGGCTCTCTTCTGCTGTCTCGTACACAGCATTTGTAAAATACTCCTTTTTGATAACCACATTACACAGAGAGGAGTAAAAGTATTTTTCTTTTCTGTTAAAGCACTGTTAAATACAGGACAGAGGATGTTAAAAGACAAAAGCCATCCTTCTGCCTATTGTAACCAAGTCCATCACAAGTAATTTCACAAAAAGAAGGTTTGAAAGGAGAAAACCTCACACAAAACCACCCTGGTATTGTGTTCCTAGGGTGCTAGATTTGTCTGAAAGGACATGAAATAAAATTCTCCTTGAAAGAAGTTCATGTAATACACACACCACTTGCTTATTTTTGTGTGTGCACACACAAGAACGTGGATTTAATCAATGAGTCAATCTGCCTGCACGCTCACTGCCAAACACGCAGCAATACCTCCAAGCGCTCCCATGAGAGCACTTAAGACATGAGCTAAGGCTTTCTGTGTACAGAATGTTTTAAATGAAGTCCCCAAGGTACAGATCAAATAAAGAAATACTTTTTCATGCAAACAGTAGTGATATTAAAGACTGAAATTCTATCTCAAAATTGAAGATACACTAATCTAAGAGAGCGTGCAGAAGATGCAGGATCTGTGTTAGCACACGTTTGTGAAAATGGGAAAAACACACCTGTAAGACATTACCAGAATGAAAAGGTATCAGGTGTCTCAGGCTGCAACCCTAAGGCTCCCAGCCTAGGACACAAGGATGGAGATTTCTTGAGTCCTTTCCAGCCCTATTTTCTTACTCTGATTTTGGTAAAAACTCATGACTACAGCAGCACATCAGCATTCAGAGAAGCAGGAAAGCAGTAAAAAAAAAAAAAAAAAACATTTACAGGCATACACTAGACCTTTCGTTACACTGGTACGAGACCTAACCCACGCCTCAAACAGAACTGTGCTCTAAATGGGACACAAGCTAATAAGAAAGTGAAGAAATGCCCCAAACCTCTGTTTTCCCCAACACCAGCAATTACAGTCTTGCCATGTATCAGCCAGGCTGTATTAAAGTGGCTATAGTAAACATCACATGGTGAAAACCCAAACTCCAGCTCACTTTTCCACTCCTGTTCTCACCATCTGTTTTGAGAGAAGATGTGATAAAGCCAGCACATCCCACACCCAAAGCAAGGAGAAGTGTGTATCAGAGGTAGAAAAGCATTTTAGTTCTCCATGTTTAGCTTGCATGGAGGAGTGAGGTGGCGATAGGAGAGGAGGTTGATGGTAGAAACAGAGCAGAACACTCCATGAAAACCATTAGTCTGCTTTTGCCCTGTCCACTCCTAAAATGTCCCTAAATTGGCCCCCGGGGAAAATAAGCAAAACAAAACAAAAAGAAGCTCTTTCATACGTAGTTTCTTACCATCATCAGACAGTGACTGAACAAAAAGTTACTACAGTTAACTCTGCCTCTGGAATCACACCTGCTAATTGAAATAGGAAGCAAGAGGGAAGGAGACAAACAAAAAACCTCTAAAGGCTTTTTACCATCATGACAACATAGCTGCAAGAGCTGGAGTCTTCTACTCCAAAATATCCTTAACAGACTGACAAAGAGGTACCATTTTTGCTAAAATAATCTCTCCAATAGAGGGCAGTTTCTCATTTTCTTGATGAAAAACACATTAGAAAAATTTTTTTATATATGTATATATTTGACCACTAGAATCTTTATGATGCTACACTTACTGAGGACTTCATAAGTGAAGACTAAGCTCTTCATTTATGTCAGTCTTCTGATCAAGATGGATCTACATAGCTGGCCAAGAGCAGAATTTGAGCACAAAAACACTGAAGTGAATGGGGATATTTCAAGTTAGCCTTTCACTCCATGCCCAGAAACACAAGTTAGTTTTAAAGCCTGAATAATCAGACTGATACTTCACTAAATATTAGAAGCTGATAAACTGAAACACCTCGACACAACTCCATATCCTAAAGTAGTACAAAAGTGTCATTAAGGTAAAAACACAGACCTGCCTCTAGGAAATCTCTACCAAGCTAAGGAATGGAAGAAAGTCTGCAACTACTGACAAACTCACACTCCAGAATGGTGATTGCAAGCTCGGATAAAAACTTCGAAAGGCATCTGTAACTGTGAAAATAAATTGATATGGACAGCACAGAAGCAAAAGCAGTTTCAGAGAGTCAGCAGTATTTATTATTCACATCAGTGCAATCAATGACAAAAATACAAAAATCTTTGCAATAACATCTTGATGTTAACTGTGCACACACTGGAATTGATAGCTTGTAAGAAATTACTATGTATTTTGGAGCACTGGAAAAGGAATGAGTTTTTTAATCACCCAAAGGGTAAGAATGATCTTTGGCTACCAAATACACTACTAGGAAGTGGACTCCTCTCTTCTGTATCACTTCATATAAACCAGGGAAGAGCTCTAGGAACACCGGTTCAGTTACAAATTTTAGGTACCAAAGCATCAGGATGTTCAAAAACATAACCACACACACAGATGAAGGAAGATTTTAGTCTACTAAAATATTCAGCATCATTGCTGAAACTGACATTCACTTTCTGAAACATCAACTGACTGAACTGCACTTGTTGAAATAGGTTGAGAGCAGATTTTGGATGCCATAAAACCAGTGTCTATCCAGTTTCATAATTTTACAAACCATTTGATATCAGAGCACCTCACAGTCCTCTACCTGCTACAGTTAACCACTGCACAACATGATCTCAGCATTTCAGCCTAAGAATCCACTAGTATCCTTACTGGTAAACAACAAATAAGCACTAAGAAAAGTAACTTGTTTACAGAATAAGTTAACAGTAGGTAGTCCTACAGCTTACAGAAGATGAAGCAGCTCAGATCTATATATTCCATAAAATCAGAGTACACCTTTAAGGCATGTGGAGGAGGATCCAGTGACTAATCAGTAAATAAAAAACTTGATGCTAGTGACAAAACAGCTTACTCAGTAATATAAATGAAGAACTTCAAAGGACAGAAATTAAGTGAGGAAAATAACATTTAACAGCAAACTGAGGTAGCTCAAAGTCCCTGGAAAGGTGAAATTATATGTTTAAAACCTCTTAGAAAAGGATCATTCCCTTTAAATACTAATACAAGCTTAAAATTTCCAAAAATAATCTCAGATGATGTTTTAGCAGGAATATGGTGTTGTAGACATTTTCCTAGTGACCTCTTAGCAATACTACTCCGGCTGCTCTTACTTGACAACACAGTTTTCACCTCTCACCACTTTACTATAAAAGCAAATTATTATCGAATACTATTTTTAATGTGTTTCTGATGTAAAAATTAGTTGAGGACCTATTTCCCAAGACAGTGTTTTCCCACCAATGACTTATAGGTTTCTGAAACACAAATACAGATATTTGCAAGCATGTGTGTGTATATATAGACACATAGTCAGGTAATGCTTAAAAAGGTCAAAATCTTCTCCCAGATATAAAGGGACTGGAAACACTGCAGTAAGTGATTTTTAAACCAAAAATAAAATTACACATACCTAACACTAAACCACCAAGTTATCTGATACAGAAATAATTTTTTTTATTGATTTTATTTTTTAGTTTTTCTGTGTATTATTATTCAATAAAAGAATAAACTAAAACTAAATACAGTCTTCTCATTTGCAATTTCTGTAGGAATGTCCTTGCTCCCTGCAGCAAGGGTACTTACCTAAGAAAAAGGCAGTATTTTTTACCAGAGAACCAACTCTGAAGAAGCCTCAAATGAAGCTATTCATAAAGCAAGTATAGTTTATTCTTCAAAACAAATTATGCAAAGATAAACCATTTTTATTTCAGTCATTTATTTCTTAAGTATTCACTCATAACTACTTAGTTGAGAACAAAGAAAAAAAAATAATATTTCTCTATCAATCCTGTGTAATAACTGGGAGACCAAATGAAATTCCTTTTCTACCTCATGCATAAATCAATATAGTACTGTTCTTTCTTCGGACCATCTGTGCAACACCACTGACTTCAAATTATTCATAGACTCTAAGGCCAAATGGGACCGGTATATCATCAATATGATCTCGTAGACATCGTGAGACATTTAAATTTCAGCAATTACTCAGAACAGAGCACAATAACTTTTGTTCTCAGCAGTGCCTGTGTAACTTCATTCAAGGGGGAGCAGCGTTACATTAAGCTGCAACTGAATGCTTTTTGCCTGCCTGTCAAATTGCCCCTTTTTTCCTTTCCCTCACTCCAGCCCAAATTAAATGCTTTTTTTGAACAGAGTTGTAAAGCTACATATTTTTTAAAATAAGATTTACAAACCACACGAAGTCGATAAAAACTGATGAAGTATACCGACTTTATGATTCTGACAATGCCAGTCCTATGAAGTAATTATTTCCACAAACCTTACTAAGAAAGCAGCTGTATCAGTCCCCAGGATCAGACACTGCTTATCTAAGGATTCTGAGGAAAAGGAAGCAGTGGATAGATATAAGAAACAATTAATGATCCTGAAACCTAAAAAGCCAGATAAAACAAGCAGAACAGCCAGAAGAGTTGTTAGAAATGCACCTCACCTTGGAACAGAGAAAACAGACCAAGAATTCTAATTAGGGACAGATTACTACAACATTTGAATATACTGTGATAAAACCAATACAATTTACTATGAGTAAAAATGCTCTAAGTTCACAAAAAAAAAAAAAAGAAAAAACAATAGAAAATAGGCATGAATTCATGGAATGCTCCCTACAGATAGTCGAAATGCTTCTGATATGTCTCCTCATAAACACTGAAGGAAATGAACAAGATCAATATTGTTACACATCATTTGATGAAGATTGAGCCAGGATTTCAAGGATCAGAAAAGCTGGTTATGAATGATTTTAGGAAACAGTACTATGTCTGTACTATTTAATAGTCCAGTGAAAAAGCAGAAACTAAGTTATTTGAAGTTCAGTGTCTCCAAAACTTTTCAGAGAGCTATACTGCCTAAGACTATGAAGATGGATCCCAGCTGTGCAACAGCAGTTTAGGAGAACCGGTTATTTGGTGCACTGTCACCACACCTTTAAACTCCTTAATGTTATGGCTTCAGCTAATTATGTTAATTGCTTGTCATATTATCATAAAAAAGTAACCAAAACTGAAAATATTCAAGGCATAACAAGACACACATTGAAACATTTTGGATTTGCATCCAGTAATCTATTGCAAAACAACAACTACCTTTTTCCTTTCAAGAGCAGATAAATCAGATTAGGTCAACTCTAGTTTCTTTTCTTCAGTCCCTCTTACCCCACCTTGCAATACTACAATAAGGAAATGCTAAAATCGGGAAAGCAGACCTAAAAATATGAGGAAGGTATGGCACTTTACATTGTTAATCTGCAAGATTAGTAACCATAGGTTATTTGAATGGTGTTAAATTTGCAGTGATTTAAATTCATGAAGAGAAACTAAATTACACTCTTCATATCATTTTACTGATTCATTCGAACAGTTTAATATGAAAACTTGTTTTTCTCTGAAATAAATTACTCGTTACTAGTAAATGCCAGATAACAAAATCATGTGGATTTTCAGTTTGCTCGAGTCTTTTCTTCCTTCCTCCTCCCCTTCTTCTATGAAGCTAAAAGCTGATCCTAACACATTCACAACAGTTACAGGTATAACAAAAAATAAACAAATAAAAATTGGAAATATGAGAGCTCTACTAAAGATAACCTATCTGTATATGATTCAGAAAAAAGCCAGTATACCTTAAGATGTTTGGATGTGAGAGTCTATTCATAAGTTGAACCTCTTTCAGCATGTTTGCTCTGTTGCTGTTCAGTGTGTTCATCTTCAAAGCCATTACCTGGTCTGAAGTTCTGTGCCTTACCTATAGGATACAAGCAAAAAATGGTAAGGATATGAAATGCAAGACTGAAAAACCAGTAATGTAGTACAACTTATAGATCCTTCATGTCAAATTACTTGTTCTATACTCTGATTTCTGTAGTCTTTATCACACAGATGACTTTCTATAGGCATACTATCCAAATGTGAAAGGGTATTTCGCTCTTCTCTTGCACCTGGTGATGACGGAAAGCTTGAAAAGTTGAAAAACAAACAAAAAAAATGTATCAGCTGCTTAGTACAAGTGAAGGAAGCCACTCATTTGTCCAGGGAAAGTTTCCTACTCCAAGACCTATGAAATTCACCTTCGTTCCACCCATATCCCTCCTCTTTTCCCACTGCAGTGGTTGGTGTTATTGTTCCACAGAACATGTTATAAGGGACCTGCTGGTTACAGCTACAGGGCAGACTTCAGAGGTGTACGATGCTTACTTCTGAACCAAAACCACAAACCAGAGGATTTCCCTATCGACTGTGCAGAACCAGATCACCATTCCAAGCTACCTTCTCCAGTCAGAAATGCATGACTGTGGTTATTTCTAACTTGATACTCTCATACTAGCCTCCTTGTTATCAGCAAACAGACCAATGTTATGTAAATGTGTGCTACTGTGAGAAAGGAGTTGTCAGGATAGTGCAAGATTTGCCAAACCTTAGAATTTTCTTGCCATTGAGCGTTCCCACATGCATATCAGTAACAGTCATAGGAACCGTGTTCCCAGTATTTCCTTCCGATATCAGTAGCTGCATCTCAAACAGAAAATGTGTACTTCTCAAAGCACTGAATTACTACCATGGCAAATTTATTCGTGTTTATGGAGATTACAAAGTTTAGAAAAGTCTGTGATGCAAGAAATTAAGACTGTCATCAGTTTTCTAATTTAAATCAGAAATCTACTTTATGATGTAGGTACATACAAACTACCTGTATTTTAAACAATAGTAGCCTGCCTGCTTTTATTCTGGGAGATTCTGCTCATCTTTTCCAATAAAAGGCTTCTTTAGCCGTGATGTGTGAGTTACAGAAAGAACAGCTGAACTCATGATAAGCAGATGCAAGAAGAAAGCTGGGGATGCTTTTTGGAGATGAGGCTCGCTGGTAGGTCCGAGGCAGCAAGCGATACCCATTTTCAAGTTGTATTTGCACACTGTATCTTCAAGAACAAGGCACACACTTCAGCTAAACATTCTCACCTAGACACAAAGCACCATGAATTCAGCACAGGATGTACTGGGAAGAAAGGGTGTCCTGTTTCAGATGTATGCCTGGTCTAACACTTCGGAGCTGCCAATTCCCGTCCTAGTTTCAAGTATAGGGTAGCACTGGAAAGATCACGGTTAAATGTGGTAAACATTGAGGGACTGAGTAAATAGAAAAATAGCCCATAGATGCTTTTTCTCCTGCTTCCCCCGCTGCCCATGCACACAAGCTCATCAGATGCCTCACCCACAGTCACCTAGTAATCCCAGTGCAAGAAGAATCAGAGAAAGGAGGTAGAGAAGGATATAGAAACCAGCACTGAGAGCAGAAACCAACAGCAAGTTCATAAACATGGGACTCCTCCTTTCAGTGGCAATACTGGCTTTAAAATAAAACTGGTCCAACTACAGCTTTAGTGCATTATAACAAGATAATATAGAATCCTTCCGCACACAACCTGTCTTGCCTGTTTGGCATGCTTATTGGTTTTAAGCAGGATGATTGCATGTTAAGTTGATGAGGTTTATTGTTACTTGTCAGGTTTCTTGTGTCTATTGTGTGCTTTCATTAATTTTTAATTTTATGCAGCTTTTGCATACCCAGCCAATTTGAATGAACAAACTAAATTGGACAGGTCAATGTCTATATACAGACTTTTAAAACATTTATTTTAGTTATACATTAGTTTCATTAGCAGTAATGCTTTGGTTGAGGAACAAAGATTTTAAAAATGCTTTCCTAGACTTGAAGATTTGTTCTAACAATGTAAGTTTAAATTAAGAAAAAAAAAAAAAAGGACAATTTAAAAGCTTTGATTCTATACACAGCAGCTAAATCGGTACACTTCCCCTGGGAGGTGAGTTAGGAATCTTGGGTGTTGTGGTAGAGTAATTTCAGGTTTGCAGAGAATGGGAAAAAATTTGAAGGAACTTAACTCCTACAGACAGAGAGATGCTCTCAACAGAACTTCCTCAGAAATCAGCTTTCCAGTAACACAGAAGCTTCAAGGTCTGCCAAGAGGGAATGAATAGAGGTAGAAGGTGAGCAGGAGCTCCAATGGAGTGTGGTCTTAAAGAGTATTTGCCTCCTCATTAACTCTGCTAGCTACCTCTTAATTTTCTGCCCATTTCTGTAATTCACACAGTTCTGTGCCAAATTTTCAAGTCCTTTTTCCTCAACCCTGAAGTAAAAGTAGAATCTATCATAGGACCTTGTTCCTTGTTCTTTGCCTTTCCCTTGTTCTGATCGCTCCTCTTGAGCTAGGGAAACCTCAGAAAAGAGGGTGGTAAGTTTTTGGGGCACTGTGCCCTGCATGCTTCCTGGATTTTCAGGTCTGATATGCAAGAGCAAGTGGTTAGCAAGTGCTTCTCAAAGGTCTGACTGTCCACAGTACTAACTCCACATCCAGAGAAAATTGCTGCTTTTGCAAAGACAAGATTTTTCATCCTCCATTTCAGAAAGGTATTCGGCAGTCTTTTCAGTCCTGATAGACTGAACAAGGTTCTGTGGTGAGGTCTGGGGGTTTTCATTTGTTTGCTTTATAAAATCATTTTCCCCATGCTTGGAAATAGCTCAAATTTCTAGCATATATAGCATATTCTGCCCATACAATTGGTCTCTAAACAGTACTCAACACTGCTATGCTTTTTTTCACTTAAAGGAACACTGTAAGGTAAGGCCAGCAATTTCATTTGAACTTCTGTATACTGTTCTAACATTGACAGATGTATTACTGCTGAATCTGATACAACAGAAAATTACTTAATCAAACCACAGGAGAGGTGGGAAAACAGAAACTCTTCCTCTCTTGCTCGCTACCCTTTAAGCAAGGAGGAAGAAGCAGAACTGGAGGTGGGATGGCGTCTTCTCAAGAGGATAATACCCAATATTACGAATAAAATCAAATACCAGTTTATATATTATGGAACACAATGCTAATCACTTGGAATATACATAAGGCTAATTGTATTCTCTCCTCAGAAGCACTGATGGGAAACATTATTTCTGCAGCAAGAACAGACTACCAGCAGGGAACAGACAGGTCCTATCTTTAAGGTCTCGGTCAAGCTCTGGATCATCTACACAGAGGGTAACTGATAGCTCCTTCTGTACCTACTTACCCGTCAGTCATACCTGAGACAAAATTTGGGTCTATTTTGGCATCCCCTGCCAAAACCCTGCCAAACTGTTTAGTTTTAATCCTTCACGTCCTTTCAGGCCACCTCTGTGCAATGAAAGCATGGAAGTGATGTTTCAACCACCTGACTGCTCCAGAAGGAAAACAAGTAAATATTTTGGAAATATTTTTGATCCAATTAAACATTTGTTTACAAGGCAGTTTGCCTCAGACATATGCCTGTATACTCAACATAAACAGGAATTCATTCATGCAATTCAAACCTTACACTGATGCAACTTGCAGATTGTTGTAAACCTTTTGAAGCTGTTGACATTATTATTAATTAGGGTTCCTTGCATATCTGAGCTAGTAACCTTTCAGCGATGCCTGGATGATCATGTCTCTGCTTAGAAATATTCTGACAATCCTACAGCTGTTTTCACATGCTGCTCTGCACATGCTTCTGGCTTCTCATTCTGCTTACCTATGTGTCTCCATCTCCAAGGTCACAGGAACTAGATATTATCTCCCTGTTTTATTGCTGACAGGCAGTTAAACTGTCCCTCTGCACTCTGATTCTTCTAGGATCAAAGTACTTTGAAAGTACTTTGACCTGGCTATGGCTAGCTGCATGGCCTGCCCACTCACTGTGTCTCCAAACCATGTTCTGATCCCAGACCTTACCCCTTCCTTTAGAAGAAAGCGAGAAGTAGAGAAGTGATGGATCCAGGTACAGAAACAGTAATGTATTTAAAGGAACTCTCGTAATAGTGATTGAGCAGGGCTCACATTCAAAAGAACGAGTCCCTACATAAACGTTGTACCAAGTTCACATAAGAAATATCCTGCAAAGATTGGTGGGTTTAATTTTTAGCTTGCTGCTTAGCTACAAAGTTCTTTATTATTAAGAATACTCTAAATATCATTTAGATAATTATTTATTAAGTCATATAGATATGTCAGGGCTTTCTGAAAATCCAGGCATTTATATGACTTCCACTTTTTGCCAGGACTGAAGAGGAAACCCATTTAAGCAATAGCTGAAATCTAGCCTGATTTCATCTTTCACAAGGTCTTTCTGATCTGTACTAACTGTACCTTTCTAGGTGGCTTGGAATAAGCAACTAAAGAACATTTTCTAGTATCTATGTTATAAATCAGCCAATACAGCTTTGTCCCTAGTTTTTCACTGCACCTTCATTATTTTCCAAATCATCATTATATAGTTGAAAGTATTTTGTCAATGTTCTCTCCCAAAACGCCGTTTAATTGCTTTCCAGTTTTTCCTTACCTTCCCCTCTTCTGGTATCCAGCCTGCTTAATCACATTTATAGATCTTTACTTATTCAGCCTACTACATAAAATCATGTCACCTCTCTAACTCTAGTGCCCACACCAATTCTTTCTTCATTCTTTTACATACCTCAGTCTTCATCTGGCCATTTCACCTTCATCTTTCCTGCCGTATGTCCAAAGTACCATTTCAAAAGCAACCCTCTCTAGTCCAAATGTATGACCACTCCTGAGTCTGCTTCCTGTTTCTGAGCTCGCTGTATTATCCACAAAAATGCTGCGCATATTTTTACTTATACTGGCTCACCAACCTTACATTCACCAATTCAAATATTTCCTCCACATTCAGCCTGCAGTCTTCATGTTAGTG